CGGGGCGGACGGCGCGTGACGTCACCACCGTGCGACGCTCGGAGCGACTCCCTCAGGCCGCCGCCGCCGCCCTCTTTGTTCCTGGCGGCTGCAGGCTGCTTCGGCCCGGGAGCCGGTCCTGGGCCGCGAGTCCCTGGGCATGTCCCGGGAAGGGAAGCTTTTCCGTCAAATCCACCACTGATCACGGGCGGCGGCACACACGGAAGGATCCTCCCGTTAGAACAGGGTGTGTGGTATCTTCACCGCTGTTGAAGGATTGAGACCGTATCCCACGCTGAACAGGCAGCGCGGTTATTCGCGTGGGATGCGTGGAACAACGCACATTCCCTGTGAGGTCCTCTTGGCGTGAGAGCTGTGATTTGTGGGCTGGCTTGCAACGTTTGAAATGAAATCAGGGGCTGCCCGCTCCTTAAACCTTCCCTTACGTTTCCCCAGTGTTCCGTGATCCTTTTTGTAATTCTAAACATTTGTTTTTCGAGTGTCGGAGTATTTGAAATGGTAGATTATTTTAATATTCTGAAAACTTTCTACCAAAAAACACAAGCAAACCAACCAACCCCAAACTCGCTGCGATCTGGTTGGTCCTGCCCGAGTAGGTTTCGGAAACTGTAATTCTTCCCTTGTGTAACTGGAATAGGGAGCCCTTCTCCCGAGGAGCCGCAGCAGGTCGTTTAAAACTGGTGAACGGTTGACCTTGCGATTAGCAGCCCAATGCATAACGGCAACACCACTAGGCATCATATTATGTAACAATATATAATGGGTATATAAAGTTTAATATGTCAATAGTGCAGCTTCTGATAGATACACTTTGCATATAAATCATATACTACATTGCACAATATATGATGCATGAAGTATCGTGCTTCGATAGCATAGATTATAATAGACTCAGCCACTGCCATTGAGTCTATCAGTTTCATGGGAGCAGATAGCCTCATCTTTCCTTGATGGTGCTACTGGTGGGTTTAAACTGCCAACCTTGTGGTTTGTTTTCAACCACCCTGAATGCCAGAATGACCCCTATATAGTACAATGTACGTATGAAATTTGCTGGAAAAGAATAAATTGTACCTCTTCCATCCATTTTGTCTTTTGTATTTTAACCTAGGACGAGTTGGCAGATTGCCGCTCCAGAGCCCTATATGTGGCTCTTTTGGTACATATCTGTGGCTCTGAAATAGAATTTTAAAGTTTTAAAAGATATTTTTCAGGTAACGGTGATTTCATTTGTTTGTAAATATATATTTATGGCTCTCGAGACATTTTAAAATTGTTATGAGGAATAGGATTGGCTTTTCCATGTCAACAGTTTGATCTAGATCTTCTCAGATGTACCTCTATTTTGATTAGTCAATAATATGGGGATTTGGAATAGAATTAGGGGACAAAAGGTAAAAATTAACAGTTATAAGTTTGAATCTTAAAAATATGTGTATTTCTTAATAAAATTATATTTATATATATGTATTCCTAATGAACTTATACAGGGAAAGTTTGCATGATTAAATGACTTCAGATACTGAAGAGTAAAAGCACATTTTTTTTGTAGATGGGAAGGAAGTAGAAATCTGTCTTTTGCTAATTTTGAATCTTTGAGAGACATAATGGATTCATAATTCAAAGGCAGAAATACAGAGATAAAATGCTACTTCTATAAAAAGGTGTGTTGGGTGGTTGACTAGAGAAACAAACCCAGTGACATGCATATATGTGTAAGAAAGAACTTTTTTATGTTAGGAAAACATCCCTGCCCAGTCCAACTCAAGTTCCTAAGTCCAATACTTCAGACTCACACAACCACGTGCAATGATGCAGAAAGCAGGAAGATCTCAGAGTGGCTCACCAGCAGGAAGGTGAAGGGACAAGTGTGGGGGGTGGGGTGGGGATTGCCAGAACCCTCCCTGTGAGAAGACTATGTCCACAAGGGTTGACAGGCTAAAGTCCACCCCATACACTTTTATATATATCTTCAAGTTGACATGAAATTTTATAACTACCACAAAAGATAAAATAAACACGGGCAGCATCCTTCGTACATGATGTTGGGCGTCCTTGCATCTGTTGCAGTATGCATTCTTACAGAATGTCATGAAATAATTCAGAGTTCGAAGAAACCATGGAGACCATAGCACAAAGCTCAAGCACCTGGCTCAGGAGTTCAACTGCCTGGATGCAAAGCCATGCACCCCACACTTTCTAGTTGTGGGACTTTGGGCAAATAGCTGGCCTACTTCTCTTGCGTTTCAATTTCTCTTATATGTAAACAATGGGTTATAGAATTTACTATGGGAGAACTCATATAATCATAATAAAAACACTTAGAATGGATAAACTGACTCAATAATATTAGTTATTATCGTTTAACCCAGCATTTCTCAAAATTTGTTCCATGGAATACTATTATTATAGTCTAGTGCTCAGCAGTCTGTCCTGCCCAGGGATTCCGATGTGACATTACGATACTCAAGAAATTAGGGTCATATCTGAAGTTTAAATACTTCAAATAAAATATTTCTGTGGACTTCGAACAAGAGATTTCTGTTGCATTAACTCTGTGATACTTTCTTATGACATCCCTAGGAAATTAACACACGGACTGATCTTTGAGATGTTAATTGAGTCCATCCCCATAGTCCATGATGGATTTACTTTTCCATCTACTCATAGGGTGAGACCCTAATGCTGTACTTGTTTCTCTGGAACCCCACCTCTACTGATCGTTGCTTATGGGTTAAGGCTGAACACCTGAACCAAGAAAACTAATTGGTAAACTGGGATGAAGACCATCAGAATCTCTCTGTAGACTGAACTTGGGTGTTGATGAGCTGGTGTGTGGCAGTTCTGGGAGTGTGCAGCTCAGACCACCATCTTTGTTCCATCTTCATAGATGAGCAAGGAGTCTTGGGGTGTTGTCTAGTAAATATCAAGGTTGGTGGTTCAAACTCACCAACTGCTCGGAGGGAGAAAGATAAGACTATCTGCTCCTATAAAGATTATAGTGGGTTTATAGATAAACAAAGGTAGTCTGCAGAGGGAGGGGGGTGCAAAATCAGATACCCAGAGAGAAGTCTGATGAAAGACCAGGTGGGAAAAGAGAAGTGGGGGGCGAGAGAAAAACAGATTTGGAATGGGCCCATTTCCAGGTTGGGGGCCTAGCAAGGTGTCCACCTGGTCATTTGCTTTTCTTAAATTAATAATCACAAGACATTTTGGCAAAAATAGGTTGATTCTGCTCTCTTCCAGATTCTGCTTACATTACAGAAATTGCTAAGGATATTGAGCACTTATCTAATAATGGAGAGAATGTAATTTGGCATAACTATAGAGAACAGTTTTGTAACATCTACTAAAGTTGAGAATGCACATCCTTGTATTTAAGCAATTCCACCTAGACCATAAAGTCTCATATATGCAGGCAAGAAAACACATATAGAAACAGTGTGTTGATGACATCTTTTCTTAATAGAAACAACCTAACTGTTTATTAACAGGAAAATTCATAAAGAATGGATAGTTGTATAATAAAAAGTACATTGCAGTAAAAAAATAACTGAATTAAAGGCACAAGTACCAACATACACGTGTTTTATAAGTAAGCACAGTATTGTGAGAGATAGAAAATTGCAGAAGAATATACAAAGTCTGATGCCGTTGGAATCATTTTCACGTATGAGAAAGACTAAGGAATATA